TGGCCCAGGGCCTGGCCAGCTGCACAGCAGAGCTGCAGGCACACCCTGGCACCAGGACTGCACCCACCTCACCCCACCTGGCTACTCCCCTTAACGCAGAGGACTGACTGCCACAGGTCGCTGGGAAAGAATACAGGGCACAAGACACACTGGGGACCTAGCACGAGTCCTCTCCGTTCCTGGGGTGGCCCCACACCCCACTCACCTCTGACAAATCCTGTCATCACCAACTGCAGTCCTTTCCCTCTTCAGGGTGTCCTGGCCTGGACACTGGGTCTCACATTCACCCTGCGTTTTGTTGTTGTTGTTTGTTGTTGTTGCTGTTTTGCACTACCGGTGATTGAACTCAGGACTTTGCGCTTGCCAGGCAGGCACGGCACCACTGAGCTACATCCCTGGTCTCTCACCCTGGTTTTAAGGCAGGGATGCTCATCCCTTCTAGCCAGGCACAATGGCACAGTACCAGACTGCAGCTGGCCCTTTCCCACAGTCAGCCCTGAATGAGCCTTTCCTTTATTCAGTAAAACACAACTGCATACCAGTCGTGCCACCACCGCTGCCCCTCTCCCCAACCCTGGGGTGCTTCTGCATTTTCTAGAACCCAGAGTCAGCACAGCCACCCTACTGACCCTTGTCCTCCGTGCCATGCTCCTCCCTACAGCACCCAACAGCCCAGAAAACATGCTCTCTGCCCATCTTTCTAGTAGTCCCAGCCCCCCTGGGAAAGGTCTGTGCTCAGGACCTGTCTGTGCCCACAGACCAACTAAGAGTCCCTGGAATGATGCCATGCCTTGGCAGCAAGGACAGAGTCTCCAGACCCCAGCAGCCAGGCCAGGAGACATAGGCCCAATGCCCAGACCTAGGCCAGGCACTATCAGTGCCCAACAGCTGCTTGCCCTTCTCATCCATCCATGTTCCCGAGGCACAGGCTACAAGCCTCGAGATGTTTTTCACAACTAACCAAACAGGCACCTCATGGCAAGAAGGAGAGAGACACACGAGTGCAGGCAGCAGTCCGTACACCCACACACCCTCAAGTCCAGCCCTTTCCGAAGGCTCACTTCCCCTGAACACAACTCAGAGACCGGTCTCTGTACTGCCAGCAGTTCCAGCTAAGAGATGAGCACTTTTCTGCCAAGTGACCCAACGTTACTGTGAGGCGTGAAAGAAAAGGGAAGGGAAGTTCATGGGAACACTGCAGTGAGCTGCTTAACCACATTTATTAACAAGCACTGCAGGTGCGGCCCCAGGGAGACTCACTCCCACATCATGACTTGAACCCAAACAAGCAGCCTGATAAGGCTGTGACACCAACAGATGAAACACATTTGCAAAAACATTTTGAAAAGGCAAAAATGATAGCATAGACATTAATTACTATACACATAAACTACATTTCAAGTGTCAACTAGAACCTTAGTCTTAGGATTTAAGCATTTTTCATAACAGTCATGTTCAAATACAGCACTCTTTCTTTTGGTCTCAAGGTTACACATCACCCTCGAAGTGAACACTAAGTTTTGGAATTAAACCTTGCATGTGACAGTTAGTACTAAACACTGTCTGATGTCCACACCCAAGTGGAAATGCGGTAATGAGGAGGAGACAGCGCCACACACCCAACAGTGCCATCCACAGGGGTCCTCAGCAGTCCCAGCGGTCACAGCCTCGTGTCCGAGGGTCTTTTTATAAGACCCTCACTTGACGGTCCCTTGTTCTACAGTTACTAATTCCCAACAGAAGGCAAATCTGCCTACCAAAGGTTTTCTCGGCTTCCTCTCTGTGCTGCACTTGTGTGTGTCTGGTGTCATTACAGGGTGTCACGTTCAGCACTCCCAGGCAGGGGAGCTGAGGGTATCCAGAGGGCCTACAACATACCAGACACCTGATGCTGTATGTTCACATGTATTTCTCACAGTCACAGCCAAAGATACGGGAGGACAAACAGTGGCTTTCCTCCTGCCAACAGCCCCAGCGACAACACCTAGGGCCCCAGCCTGAGCTCCCCCACGACCCCTCGCCCCAACATGCACTAGACACAATCTCATGCCCACGCTGTCAACCACTCTGGGGGCTGTGGCCACCACTGCTCAGAGACATCTGCCCCACCTGCCTCACACTCACCCCAAAGGGACAACACGGGAGGACAAGGCTTTTCTGAGACAGCAGAAAAATTATTCTTCAAAATGCGGTGAACTCCATTTGCAAACTCCATTTTGCAAACAAAGCATAAAATTGATAAAAAGTCATAAAAAGGAAATGTTATGTTTTCAATTAGCCGAATATAAGATTTTAAAAGTGGAGCAAGTCTTAAGGAATATCCAAGACACTTTTGCTGGCATTTCCAGAGGCATGAAGAAGAGACGAGAGAGTGAAAGTCAAGTGGCACTTTTTTAAATATTAAAAGAACACTGCTCATTAAAGCAGAAAACAGCAGAGCCAGACCACTCCAGTGCACTAGGAGGAGGGAAGAGAAATGCCCAAGCACTACATAGAGCCTACGCAGACTCAGACTGAAAGGAAAACCTCGGCCTTGAAGTTGGATCCACACTTGCCCCTTCAAATTTACCCTTTTCTCTCAACAGATACCAACAATTTCATTAGTAACAAAGGCACTGAACAGCAGGAAGGGCATTTCTGCAAAATCCTGGATGGCCAGATGGAGGGAGGATTTCATTTTACAAGAAACAAGAAATGGTTTTATAAACATTCCAGCTCCTGAGAAATGAAAAGCTACTGCAGGTGCTCCAAGAACTGCAGTTCAGACAGTCCGTATGCAGCACGATTAGAATATCCTCAACAAAAGTTTTAAATGAAAATCTTTGTATTAAAAGGCAGTGCAGGGCCAGGGATTTAGCTCAATGGTGCCTCATCTGCAAGGTCCTGAGTTTGATCCCTGATACTGGGGTGGAAAAAAAAGGCAGTGTATCCCACAGTACCACAAACAAAAAATGGCACAAGAGGGTCAACTGAAGTGTTGGTGTTGCTGAGAACAGTGCTCACCTGGCATGCACAAGGCCATAAGATAGAAGAATTTGAGTTCTGGAGCCACAATGCTTTGGTTCAAATCTCTACACCATAATTTACTGCTGGGTAATCTCAAGCAAATTTCTTAACCTCTCTGTTCCTCAGATTCCTCACAAATGATCAGAGGATAATGTTAGCTCCTGTCTAGTAGATTACTATAAGGCTCATATGAATAAGGTGACTCTAAAGTTCTCACAACAATCTGGAACAATAATTTTTAAACACTTTTTCACCCCCTCATATAAAAGCCATTTTTCTGTTTTGCAGTACTGGGATACAACTCAGGACCTCGCACACTTTTTGAGGCAGGTGCGCTATCCGTGGTCCTAAGAGCTATTATTAATAAAAGGCTATGTGAGATAAACAAGGAAGGTAAATTCTACCAGATGCAGCCACCCATTTCCTCATCATGATGTTTTGATGACAACACCACGGCAGGCGCAGAGCCCAAAGGAGGAAGCGCCACCTGCCCAACACGGGACAGCGAACCAACACTGGAGCACCTCCGTGCCAAAGCCGATGCAGAGATGCTTCCGTTTGCAAAAGCAGGTGTCATGTGCCACACAGGGAATGACGGTGGGAGAGAGGAGAGACGGCCCAGGCAGCAAGGAACAACGAGAACCCTTGGCTCCTGGCATCGGGGTGCTGTTAGAGTCCCAGGGCACTCTCTCCTCTTCTCACGCTGCGCCCTCAGCGGCTCCAATGGGCTGGCAGGTCATGCAGCGTGGCTGCCAGCGGGCCTGCAACAAGCACTCAGAAAGTTTGTGTCAATCGCATGTAATGAGACTTCTGCCGGTGCACGAAGGCAGCCCGGGAAGCGCTGCGACAGGCCTCGCTCTGTGTTCAGAACCCCTCAGGCCAAGCGAGCAGCCAACACCATCTACCTGCTCACCCCACCTAGGCCAGAGGGGGCCGATTCTATGACTACCTGACCGTCCTCATCTGGGCTCACCAACTTATACAACCTAAGGAAGTATCCTTCTGGGCGCCCCACTGTCCCCGCAGAGGAAGAAGGCGCCTTAGAATTCGGACTGCCCCAGATGCGCGTCAGGTAAAAAGTTCCCAACAGTACTCACAGCTGGCCAGCATCGTGAATTAAGGGCAGAAACAAAGGCGGGGTGGGGGTCACAAGTAGTGGCTCCAGGGAGGGGACAGGCCCAGGCGGCGCCTCCGATAGGGGAGGGGAGG